GAAGACCACTAGATTCCTAGGCCATTCTCCCCTAAATAGTTTATGAAATTTCCAAAGTCCAGTGGATTTTATTTCCAAGTCAAGTTTGGCATGTGTGCCATAGGACACTTTCAGGAGAGGTCCCAGGGGGCCCTGTGGCCATTGGCTCAAACTCTGCCTGTGTGAAATCCTGCTCCACAACTTAGCAATGCCCTTTGATTTTAGGAAATGGCCCTAATTCTTCTCAGCCTTCCTTTTCTTATCTGTCACACGGAGATAAGTTTGCCTACCTTGTTGGACTTTCTGAGGATACGATAATATTTGTAAAGTATGTAACACAACACCCCATTCCTTAGCCAACGCAGTTGTCGCTGTTAGAAGAAAACTCTTTTAAACTTTTCATGATAACCTTTTCTAAGAAGTAAATCTCAGTTTCTAAAATTGGACAATGTGTTAAATTATTCTTATAGTAAGAAGACTTCAAAGGCTAAATACTTTTAAAAATTTGACTGTTATACATGGTATAAATCCAAAGAATAAAAGAGAAAACACAATGAACAGTAATATTTCTTACTCTCCCTTTCCCCCCAGCTGCTAACTTTCTTTTGCTGGAAATAATTCTTTTTTGTGTGTGTATAATCTTATAGGCATATTCTATGCATATACTCAGTAAGTTTTAAATAGTAAATGATTTCTGTCTTTATCTTTTCCTTTAGTCTCTTGCTGGTAGGGCTACCAGGAGCGCTAGGTCAACACATCCAGTCCTTTCAGTGATAGTAAAAGTATTTCATATGTATGTTGTCCAACACAGTACCCGCTAAGACATAAGTCTGTTGAACTTTTGAATTGTGTGGCACTTGCAACTGAAGAACTGAGTTCTACATTTCTATTAAATATTAATTAAATTTAACAACCACAGGTGGCTTGCCAGTGGCTATCTTATTGCACAATGCCATGCCAGGCACTTATGTCTGTGGCACTTTTTACAGGAAGACAGGGACCTCAAACTGTGGAATTAAGGAGTCATATAGAAACATTAATTTACAATTAATTAAAGACTACATTTTAATACATTTTTAATTACATGTGGCCAGTATATCTTCTTTTTATATAAATATCTAAATAAGGAAATAGAAGTTTATTTTTGAGAACATGCTGCTTGCTAATTAAAGAAAGCTGTAAAATGGCTTGTGTGTAGAAGAGCACTGGCTAGGAGAGCAGATCTCAACCAAATTAGAACATAGCCTCATTCATTCATTCATTCATTCATTCAGGAAATATTTATCGAGTGCCTAAAAGTGTACCGTGTACAGGCCCTGGGAGTGCAGCATGAAACAAAACCTAGAGGAACCCTTGCCCTCCTTAAACTTTCACTCTAGTGCTAATGAAAGCCTGTCTCATCATTTGGTGCTTTTTTGTGTTGGGTTCCCCTGGATGTCACCAAGCAACAGAAGAAACCTCTGCAGAGACAAAGAAAGGAATTGGCCCAAGGCCCTGGCTTTGAGTGCTGCGGGTATCCTGAACTTACTTCCTTTAGTAGAGGAAAAAGCTTCAGAGGAAAACAGTTCATTCAGCTATGAAAAAGTGCTTTCTTTAGCAGTATCACCTTATTTATTTCTTCAGTCGGCTAACTCTGGATTGGGATACTAATAATGGAAAAAAAAAAAGAGGTATGCATGTGTCCTATGGGTACACACAATTTTAAAGTAACCAAGCCAAGAGATTCCAGAATAAGCCCTTTAATTTTATGGGAAGGGACCGTTAAGAAGCTCAGAAGCATGATGAGCCATTACTGCCTCCCTCTTCTGCCTGCGAGGAAGGCCTGAATAGTTTAATTATACTATCTTTTACATGATCTCCCCCCAAAAGTGATTGCTTCTTAGCTTAAGCATTTTATTTGATTTGTTTTATTCTTTTCAGTCTTGTACATTTTCAGACTTTTCTAATATGAACATGTATTATGTTTGTAATAAAACAAAATGTCCTAAATTATATTGTGAAAAATAGTGCAGGTTGAGAGATAATGAATGCCTGAAATGATAGACAGGAGTAGAGCTCAAGAAAAGATGGTGAATTTGAAAGGGAGAGATTTAGAAAATTGAATTGACAGGGCCTAGTTGCAATAGTGAGAGGAGACTGAATAATAGAAACTTGTTTTATGGAATTCTGATCTCTTCTAAAAAAAGATAAATGCAGCATAACAGAATAAAGATGTCCTTTTTTTTTTTACTTGTATTCACAGCAATCAAATGTGAACTATGTCTCATTATTTTCAATCACTCATCTGTTTAAGATGATTTGTTAAAGTATTCTTTGAGTCCACAATATTAATAAGTGTACATTTGGGATCATTAAAATTGCCTAGGTGAAATAAGGGCACTTTATTTCCTTGTATAGCCTTTTGTTTTCAGTTTACCTTAATTTGGGAATAACAAAACCCTATTGTGAGGACATCTACCATGATACTGACTTGAGAACAAAAGAGAAGGCCTAAAAGATAAAAGCCCTCAAACAGAATGTTTGAAGAGCATTATTAACTACACGCATTCCTCAGACTGGCAGCCATTGCCTCTTAGAAAAGGTGTTAAAAGGTGTATTTCGGAGCTTTGAAGGAAGGATTTTATGGTGGGCTTCTACAACTCACCTCTGATTTCCAGTAACAGGACCAAAATGTTCCAGTCATGGTGATAACCACCAAAGAAACAAATTCTCATGAGTATGCTATAGTCAAAAAAGATGTAGCTGGTTGTAAAATTAGTGAAGTATTAAATTATACTCTGTTTTCTGTTAAACAAGTTTAGGATGGCTGTTTTATCTAGCATTTTTTTCTGAAATAACGATGTTTGGTTAGATGCATTGACAATAATGGTCTGTGCGGAAAAGAGGGAAAGCGAAAGAACAATGCATCCCGTTTTCTTATTTCCAAGTGTGAAAACCAGTCTCTAATGGGATGTCCCCAAACAGTGCTTCCGTTCATCAGAATGTATGCCCTCGATCTGAGTGAGTTTAATTATCACGGGGACAGTGAAATGAGGACATTGAAATCAACTTCAAGTGGAAAAATTCAGAAGATTAAAAAGCAACATATCTCAGGCTGCATAGAACCAATTTTTGTTATCTCTTATTCCTCCTAGAAGGAATAAGTTTATATTCAATATTATTTTGTATTAGTTTCAGGTGTACAGAGTAGTTAGACAGTCACATACTTTACAAAGTGTTTCCCACAATATTTCTAGTACCCACCTGACACCATACATAAGTATTAAAATATCATTGACTATTCAAGCTTGCTTTTGATAAGCCAGTATAAACAAGTTCAGCTCAATCCTTTTGGATACAGAGATCCATTCTGCATTGACCTTCCTCAGTAAAGAGCTGATCTCTGATCTGTATATCTAGGTTACTGCATATTAATTTCAGCCTCATATAGAAATCTTGAGGAGAGAGAGATTGTTTTGTTAGGAGCATTATCCGACTCAAGTTTCCAAAGAGACACCTACTGTTTTACCAGGGAAAAAAAAGTTTACAATCTGAGGATAGAAAATATATTTACTGATTGTAATTCCTTTTCATGAGTCTCCAATTTTGCTTGATTTGTGGTTCTGTTTTTTAAACAAATAAACATAAAAAGATAGCTAAACTAGAGATGGGGAATATAGTCATCTATTACTTTTTTCCTAGCTATCTTTTCTTCTATGCTATAATCTCATTTATTAGCCAATGAAAGTATAAGAACTTGGCTGCTCAGTGTTCAGTGAATAATATCCTAGTTGAAATATTTTGTAAGAACATGAGGCCTTTATCTCAAAAGCCGAATTTGTTATATACCTCATGTTATTATATGACTGTATCAGGAGATATTTTACTATTTCTGTTTGTGTTATATATTGACACATATCTCAGTTGATCCTAGTAAAACACCCTGTTAGATAGCTAGCTGTTACCAAAGGGCTTCTCTAGACTGTTGAATTGATTTGTCTAACATCACAGAACAAAGCAGCATACAATCAAACCTAGTTCCTGTATTATCCTCCATTTGCTTTTCTCCCCAAACATTTCCTTATCTTTGACCAACATCAAATTGTATAGATGCTCAAGAGAGCAAAGGAAATAGACATGTAAGAGAAAGCTGACTGTGCCTAGATAGAATGGGGGCAAAGGGGTCCTAATTAATAAGTATTTACATATGAGCCAACTGCCATATATAGTAGAGGGCAAGGATTTGTTCTTTGCATTCTGGTAAGGAAAAAACATTCTTAAGGACCAGTATGTACAGAATGACCATGAATTAATTAGAGTGGTACATCGATCAGAACAGTTTTGAGTTACCGAATTTCAGTGAATTATAATAAGCTTCATCTTTTATACATCTGTGACTCAGGCGTATAAATTGAAAATATCAAATATGTTAACTGATGTTTCATCTATTACTAATCATAAGGATAACTATACATTGTCACTGTGGCATTTTCTATCGGGAAATGCAGCTCTTCTTCGGTACTGCTGTCATATGGGTAGAGGAAAAGAATTTGTTAACCTTAAACCTGCTTGCACCCTGACAAATCTTTATATTCATTGAGCCAGGTATAAAGGGTTTGTTTTTACAGGTGTGCTTGCCCATCAGTCCAAGGGTACCATTAAAAACCAGAAACACTTTTAAAAATGTAGCATTCCAAATGTGGCAATATATTTGGGTAACAGTTCATCTTGACAAAAAAAAAATAGTCACCATTTTATAGCCTATAGATTAATTTAGTTTCTCCTCAGGTCTAGAGCACTTCCCATTCATTTTCTGAGACATCAGTATTAAGACTATACAATTGAGGAAAGGCCACTAGTCTCCATGTAAGAATTTTTAAGTGATTAGGAATGGAAAATATAACAGGAATCTGTAAATAACAAAACTATAAAGGAAGTGTTTTCTATATCAATTTCTGAAAGCCCAATGCATGAAATTAATATAACTTCTCATAGCCAATCATTTCTCCAATGTTTTTTTTTCCTTTTTGTCTCATTTCTAGCTTGAAAAAGAAAAAACAAGCCAAACAAAATGCAGAGACAGCCTCAGCTACAGCTACAAGGACTCATACTGGAAAAGGAGATGTTAATACAGTCATTTTAGAACAAGACAAGTGCAACATTGCTGTGGAAGAGGAACATATTACTGATGAGAAAAAAAAGAGAAAAAATCAGTTAAAGGAGATCAGACGTACAGAACTAAAGAGATATTATAGTATTGGTGAGTATTGGTGGCAATATTGCAGAATTTTCATTTTAAAAATCTGTAGTAATTTTAAGACTATAATTTGTAACTAATCATAATAATAGTAACAGTTTATTGAGCAGCTGTTATGTAATCAATGGCCCTTGGTGATCTTTGGTAAAGGAATGAAAATGAAATAATGTTGGCATGTCTTATTCAACTTTGTATTCCCATCATCTAGCACAGTGCCTAGCAGATGGTGTGTGCTAATAAATATTTGTCAAATGAATGGTCACTTTCCCTGTATGAGAAATATTTTTCTTTATATATAGACATAGCCATAAAAGTGTGTTGGTAAAGATGTGTGTACTTTTTAGCATCAGTTAGGCAACAGAAAATAGATGGAGACATGGCCCGGCATCTGTCAGTTAAGAGAAAAAAAAAAAATAGATGAGTTGGGAGTTTTACTTAAGGGGAATATTAAAATGAGACTACAGTGTTCCACAGTTTCTCAGAGTAGGCATTGCATCTGAAACTGCCTTAGGAAAAGTGGTGTATCTAGCGTGATGGAAGTAATAATCCTGCTTTACCTGGATCATCCATCTCACACCTGCTGCCCCTCTCACATGCAGACCTGGAGCATGTTCAAAAGGGAATGCAAGGGAAGGGAACTGTGAGCCAAAACGTGTTGTGGCGTACAGGTTGCGGGTGCTCAGGATTGCCAGACTAAGAGAGGGAAGACTGAGGGGTGTCTGCAAACATGTTGCAATATGATACATGAAACATGGTTTTTTTAAGTTTCTTTTAAATATATTTTATTGATTATGCTATTAAAATTGTCCCAATTTTTCCCCTTTGTCCCCCTCCACCTAGTAACCTCATTCCCTCCAGCAATAACCCCCCTTAATTATTGTCTGTGGGTCATGCGTGTAAGTTCTTTGGCTACTCCATTACTTATACTGTTCTTAATATTCCCCTGTCTATTCTGTACCTACCCATTTGTGCTTCTTAATCCCTTCACCTTTTCCCCCATTTTGCCCTTTTCCCCTCCCAACTGATAACCCTCTGAAAGATCTCCAAAACTATGATTATGTTCCTGTTTGAACCGTGTGTATGATTCTGCTTGTTTGCTTAGTTTGTTATTTGGATTCAATTATTGATAATTATGAATTTATTGCCATTTTAACATTTATCATTTTGATCTTCTTTTTCTTATATAATTCCCTATAACACTTTATATAATAAGAGCTTGGTGATGATGAACTCCTTTAGTTTTACCTTGTCTGGGAAACACTTTATCTGCCATTCCATTCTAAATGATAGCTTTGCTGGGTAGAGTAATTTAGGTTGTAGATCCTTGCTTTTCATCACTTTGAATACTTCTTGCCAGTCCCTTCTTGCCTGTAAAGTTTCTTTTGAGAAATCAGCTGATAGTCTTATGGAAACTCCTTTGTAGATAACTGTCTGCTTTTCCCTTGCTGCTTTTAACATTCTCTATCTTTAACCTTTTGCATTTTTATTATGATGTGCCTTGGTGTGATCGTCTTTGGGTCCATCTTGTTTGGGACTCTCTGTGCTTCCTGGACTTGCATGTCTATTTCCTTCACCAAATTAGGAAACTTTCTTTCATTATTTTTTCAAATAACTTTCCAATTTCTTGATCTTCTTCTTCTCCTTCTGGCATCCCTATGTTTAGGGTGATGGTACATTTAAAGATGTCCCAGAGGTTCCTAAGCCTACCCTCATTTTTTTAAATTTGTTTTCCTCCCGGCTGTTCTGATTGAATGCTTTTTCTTCCTTGTGTTCCAAATCACTGATTTGATTCTCAGCTCCATCCTCTCCACTGTTGGTTCCCTGTAGATTTTTCTTTATTTCACTTAATTCAGCCTTCATTTCTGCCTGGGTCATTTTTATGCCATTGAAGTACCCAGTGAGTTCCTAGAGCATCCTGGTAACCAGTGTTTTGAACTGTGCCCCTGATAGGTTGTTTATCTCCATTTTGTTTAGTTCTTTTTCTGGAGTTTTGTTCTGTTTTTCATTTAGACCTTATTTCTTTGTCTCCTCATTTTGGTAGCCTCCCTGTGTTTGTTTCTGTGTATTAGGTAGAGCTGCTTTGACTCCCTATCTTAATAGCAAGATCCTTTGTAGAAAAGCACACCTGTTAAGTTGTATGGGGTGGCGCCTTAGGTAATTGCTAGGGCAGGGCAACCCGGATCACTGCTCGGTTGTTCTGTGTCCGGCGGGGTGTGGGGGAGAGCTTGCAGAGGGGACAGTGTTTCTGCCTGGCGTCTGGAGTTTTGCCCATGAGGAAGCTCTCTCTCAGTATTTGCACTTCTCCCCATATGCTACTGGTGCCCTTCCAGCTGTTGCCCTGGTGCTGAATCCCAGTGGGGGGTGGGTCTGCATGAGTCCTAAGTCCACTGTGGGCCCTTTAAGAGAAGTCTCTTGCGAATCCCGCAGTTTTTTCTGCTGCCTCAACCGCCACTGGTTTTTATAGCCAGAAGTTACGGGACTTATCTTCCTCATGCTGGAACCTGGGCTGGGTTGTCTGGACTGGGGTTGGGATCCCTCACTCCCGTGGAATCCCTCCCATTTTTTTATCTACCACATGTGGATGTGGGACTGCCTGTTCCCATCTCTGCACCTCTCTACCGCTCTGCTTTCTCCACTCCTCCTACCCATCTGGAAGAATGTGGCTTCTTTAAATCCTTGTTTGTCAGACTTCCACAGAGCTGGATTTTCTGACCATTCTGGGTGATATATTTGTAGTCTGGTTGTATTTTTTGCTATAGTTGTGAGGGGAGGTGAGGCGTGTTTGGCTGCTCCTCCATGTTGACCAGAAGTCTCTATAAAGCAAAACATGTTCTTATAGCAGAGACTTATTTCAGAGGGCCCCAAAGTTGGGTCATATGGAATGCCAAAGTTATCTGGAGACGGACCGTGTTTCTGTGTTTAATATCACTTTCTAAGGGCACTCATCAAAGACCGAATGGGCTGCCATTGGGGTGGTAAGTGAGGCTGTGCTGACATTGCTCCAGCGGAGGCAGGAGAGGCAACTGCAGCAGAAAGCGCGGGTTCCTAGCATTCCAGCGGGCTCATGTGATTGTATCATATCTTACACAGCTTAATGGAGGCTTTTAATGTCAAGCCATTTGGCATTTTATAAAAAGTCGTACCTGCCAACCTATTGAAAGATGCTTCTTTGTCATCAATAAAGTTCCTCTTAAAATTTAAAGTGTTGAGTATTATTTATTTCCAAAAAGAAGAAGATGATGAAGGAAAATTTCATTTTATACCTTCATTTACATACAATTTGTACACATTGGACTTTTGAAACTGTGTGGATTTTAGAGTTGTGCCATTTAAAATACAGGGTGGGGCAAAAGCAGGTTAACAGTTGTTCATATGAAAAACAATACAAGACTGAACACTGTGTTAAACTTTGTTTCGCATACTCACAACTGTAAACCTACTTTTGCCTACCCTCTGATCTTTTTTTTTTTTAATCCTTACTTTAAATGCTGTTGCTTAAGAAGTATTTTAAAGTAGAGACCTTTTAGCTTTGTAGAGTTTCCCTGAAGGAAGCTGATAGTCCTACCCATTTAGGGTTTTTTTTTGTGGTGATACTATACTAACTGGATGCTGCGTTAGATAGCTTTTCAATGTGGTTCCCTCTGCTGCATGTGTTAACACTTTGAGTCTGAAGCAATACCCTTCACTTTACTTTTTACCTAACTCTCACTTGACTTCACAATCAGCTCAGACTTCGTTTCTTCCAGGAAGCCCTCCCTGTCCCTGTTCAGTCTAGGCTTCCCTTCTATGGCTTTATTTATCTTTTCCCCTTTTTCTAGGCTCCCCTTTTTCAAGGCTCCCCTTTTTCAGGACTCAGACCCTGAGTCCTGAAACTATTACTAGTTTTGTGCAGTATGTATGGCCTTATGGGCACTCTTTAAATGTGCATGAGGAGATGAATTAATCCATAGATAAATGAATACGCTGTTTGATTTGTCTGAGTTTCGTGAGAATTCTGAAGGGATATATATATATATATATATATATATATATATATATATACATACACACACACACACACACACACACACACACATATACATACACATATACAACAGTACAACAGTTGGGTCAGAATTATCCTGTGTTATTATTTGGTAGCAATAAGTAAAGAGATGCCATCCTAGCTTTGCATCTGCTCCCAGGAATGGCAGCAACAGGGGTGGGAGGCTTGGGCCATTCCTGTAGGAGAATCCAGCGTTTACACGAAACTACTAGGTAGGCCTTTGAATTCCAGAGTTCCTTGTTCCTTTTCACATCTGGCTCTAGCCGACATGCCCATCCTGGCAGGTTTGCTTGACCTCAAAGGGCTTGCCTGTGTATTCCCCAGATCCCTGTCCCAGGATGTTCTGTACCACCAGGTGGAGCACGAGGCCATCAGTGAGGGTAGTACCTGTTCCCTGCTGTCAGTGGCTCTGCAGAGAAGTCACTAAAATAGGAGGATCTTGTGAGTCACACTAAGGGTTTGGACTTTCTCCTTTGGGGGAACTCCATTAACTTTTTGTTTTCAGGTGACAGATTGAAGGATAGTGAGTGGAAGCAAAGTAACCAGGCTGTGGGAGATGGGATCAATGGAGGTAAGCACCCTGAGGAGAGATTTTGCTCTCAGAAACAGCAATATTCGGTAACTAATGGAGTATGTGCTGGAGAAAAAGAGTAGTCAAGAGTTTTCAAACTAGAAAACTCAGCAAGAAGCAAGGAAGATAATGAATTTGTTGAGATGTTTTTCGGGTGCCAAGTAGATTAATGTAGAGGAGCCTAGATTTCAGGTGACAGGTCTGGAAATTGCTACTAACAGGGATGAGGTAAATCCATAAATGTAAAAGAAGTCATCCAGGTAACACACAGAGATAAAACAAGAAATGGGTGACAAATGATAATAAATTTCTAGAAGAACAAACTAGAAGGATCAACAATATGTCAATAATTGTTTTCTCTGAGTGTAGAAGCTGCAAGGGATTTGG